AGATGGTTTTTGGCGAGAAATCACAAAAGAATTACCAAACTTGGGTCCGGTCTCTGTATAACTATAATGGTATTTTAATTGAATAACTGTAATTAATCCTCTTTGTAACTGTAACCATACCCGGCCTTCATATGCCTTTCAGTAATTGAGAGAAGTACTAGAGATTTCTTGGTAGCCGGGAGAAAACTAAATGAAACCGGAGAGAGCATTAGTTTCAAAGTTGTAATTTAGTTAAACCTAGTTCGGAGTATTGGGATATTTCTGTTTTAGCTTACGTTTTTAGATGCGCTTTATATTGAGTTGTGTTTAACTTTCTTAGTAGTTTGAAGTGTAACTACTGATTGCACTCTGAGATACTGTGAAGAGCCGAATGTTTTTGCGGAAAGTTGGAGAACTGTGAAATGTTTCTTTTGGTAAAATAAATTTTATCAAGCTATCATCGATTCTGTGTGCATTCAATCTGTTACAAACTCGTATGCACGCAACAATATATTTCAAATGCGTTACAAGAGCTTTTATCTGAAACTCTTAGAAAACTGTTTTCAGAAAGCCAATAAATATATTTTTGTATAGTGAATTAGGCGGTTAATTAATGAGGTTTGTTTCTAGTTTTAATCTGAAATAAAGCAGAAAACCCGAAAACGTTAGTTTTGTTATTGCAGTTCTGTCTTCTCCCTCTCTCTCTCTCAAAGGTCATTTTTCTGCCGCTTCTTTTTACTTATCTAGGGCAAAAATGCATTCATTATATGTCAACATTAGCATCTGCTTCACTTAAAAAATTAAGGAGCAGCCATCATGCAAATATACTCACAGAATAGAGATTTCTCTGCAAATTATATATCCTAATTAACATTTTAAACTTATTTAAAACAGTGTTTTAGGATTGACTTGATGATATTTTAGAAAATGGCTTCTTTGTTGGATTTGTACTTCTATATTAGTACGAGTAGAAGCCGTCCTGAACCGCAGTCCATTAGTATGTAGAGTCATTAGATTATTTTGATGCTGGAGACGCGAAAAATGAGCGATGCCTTCGCCGGGTCACAAACCTGAACCTTTTGAATATGTGTGGGGTGTGCTACCATTACACCACAAAGGCATGCAGAAAGGAGGGAGAAAATATTACCTTACATACTCCTCTTTTAAAGGGTGACTGGGGTTTAGGGAGACCAATCATCAAATCCTGGTGGTGAAAAATCATCTTCCACCACCATTATACGCGCTGAATGTGCTACCATTACACCACAAAGGCATGCAGAAAAGAGGAAGAAAGTACTTTATTAGTGTATGAGAGAAGAAATGATGATTCCAAAGAAGCCTTGAGTACAGGCCATTTTCTAACTAGTCAGAAACCGGCAACATTGTCTTTAAAACTTGAATCCGAAAATGTGAAACTGACAAAAAATTATAGTATGCAGCAGGATTTGTTGTATACGTTTTGGAAGCGATGGAAAAGCAGTAGTCTCAAACTGGCGGTTCGCGGGTACAGTACGTACAGGTTTCAATATAGCATAAAGTCATTGGGCAGTGGATTGCAATACAGTGTTTATTAAGAAAACAAAAACCACTAGCAAACATTTCAATAGTCATTACATTCCAACTGATTTCGACGACAGCGCTGGCAGAGAGCCAAAAGTATATAATGTAATGCATATATAATAAAGTTTGACAGACCCCGAAAAGAAGCTAAAGGGAAAAAGGACAATAATCATTGAACCTCAGGAAATGACAATTTAAAAACATAAACCGCATTAGATGCGTTATAAACCGCATTAGCGTTAAAAATATAAACCGCATTAGTTAGTTAGAATGGATAGATTTATGATGCCAATTAAATGAAAAAATATAAACTTTGTAAGCGACAAGTCAATAGACCTAGTAATATAGACATTATCATTATAGACCTAGTAAGCGGCGTGACTAGACGTCAGTACGATCTATATATGTATTCGTCAGATGAATGTTAGTAAAACTTTTCGGGTCTATCCGTTTTTATTACGCATGTGTTGATATTTTTACTTTCCTTGAGTCAGTCACTAGTTGATTCAAAATTAAAAAGTCTAAGAAAAAGGACCTGATTGACCGATGAGCACCTACAATCTGGGATAAAGATAGCAGTAACTTTTCTCCAAATCTATAAATGTTATCAAACTCGAAATGTCATCAGGTGTCGAGCTGTAGTAAAGTAAGGTAATAAGTTGTAGATATTAATTCTCAAGTTTTGTTCCACTGGGGAAATTTTCTGTGAGAATTTATTAAGTATTCGTAATTTGTTTATTTTATGTTAAAAGAAGTTATTCAACGGTTAACTCAACATATTAGAATTATTTCAAATAAACGTCACTCCAAAAATTTAATATTTAGCTGGTAGTATATTTTAATTATGAAATGTATACAGAAATTTGTTACAGATATAAAATAAGCAAGGTAAATTTAGACGTTTTTCCTTTGCTTATGTATTATTTGCTGTTTATGTATGTTTTTGCTAAATATTCAATAAGTGAAATTTGAAATTAAGTTAAAATTTAGTTAGTTATTTAGTAGTTTGAAATTTTGTTAAAAAAAAACCTGGTCTCAAGCTGCTTACAAGTCATGCACACGGCCCGCCAACTGCTTTCGGATCTTGCGTACGGCCTGCATGCAGTTTGAATTTGAGACCATTGATCTATGGAACTTCTTCCGGAACTCCGCAGTTATCTTTCAGTCACGGACATTCAGCCGACACGGACAGTTAGCCTATAGGACTACACGGACATTTAGCCGACACGGACATTTAACTGAACACTTAGGCGACAGGGACATTTAACCGATGCCTTCTTAGCATGCCTTCGTAGTGTAGCATACCTTCATGTTGTAGTAGTCAGCACGCTCGACGCGAATTCAAAAGGCCTATGGTTCGAGTTCAGGCGAGGGCATTGCTCATTTTTCATCGCTCTTGCTTTAAAAAAATACCTAATGTCTCTACACATTTACCGACAGCAGATAGCACGTTTAACCACAGTACGTTTAGCTGAAAACACGTAGATGTACATAAAAAAACATATGACAGTGTCTTACTAAAATGTGTTCATATTTATCTGACAAAAGGCTATTTCCAAAGTCACATGGAGATGATATGAAAAAAATATTGGGCTTTATATTCGAATTCAGTTCCGGGTTACAGAGCTTTTCTGCAAATTCTTAAAGTGTCCGAACACTTTTCTGAGACACTGTCTTTACAACATTACTACTTATTATTTCTTATTTAAAAAATTAAATATTTCAAGTTTAGATCCTAAACTGATATACATATTTAAGACTACAAGAAAACATTCACTCCTAATATTAGTTACATCACACGTAAAATTAAATTCTAAACAAAAATTAAATTTATTTAGAATATTTTTCAAATGCTACCAAAACTTTATATTTAAAACTGTTAAAAAATAAATACTTCGCGTTACATAAGAGCACCCATTAAACAGTTTATGACATATTTGGCCCTATATGATGATCATTATTAGCCCAAAGGGGCAATTTGCCCAGAAGGATTATTAATTTCGTTTTGGCATTTTGTGTTTCTTCACTATACACGGCGTTTAACTTTCCAAATTGTTGCCACCAAAGTTATTTGAATTTAGTTAGTTATTTAGTAGTTTGAAATTTTGTTAAAAAAAAACCTGGTCTCAAGCTGCTTACAAGTCATGCACACGGCCCGCCAACTGCTTTCGGATCTTGCGTACGGCCTGCATGCAGTTTGAATTTGAGACCATTGATCTATGGAACTTCTTCCGGAACTCCGCAGTTATCTTCCAGTCACGGACATTCAGCCGACACGGACAGTTAGAGTCCTGTATTATACTTAACGAAATTAAATAATGAAGAATCTGCATGAGTGTATTTATGTTTCTCGCATTGTGAAAAAATAGCGGTACCTAGAGACATCAAATTCTGAATAACGTAGTCCTCCACTCGAATATGGACTTCTAGGAGCCCAAATTTGGAATTTGTTTTATTATCTATTTCATATTTTCTAAAACTTTAACCGAATTTTTGTTTAACGAACTCAACGATTTCAAAGCGAGCAACGGCAACACAAAAAAATCAATTTTATCTCCACCGCGCGAAACTGTGTATCGGAAATTCTAATGATATGCACTTTTTAAAATTATTTTGTGGTATTGCTGTTAAATCGAATTTTATTGTTTATACGAAGAACATGACATTTAATAATAAAGATAACACATAAAACGTTAAAAAAAAACCTTTGATCGAAATACAAAATTTGAAAACTTAAAAATTTTTTTAAAAAAATTTTCTTTATCAAAACATATTTTCCAATTATAGATTTTGAATTAACACCAAAAGCATAATTAAGCACCTAATGGAAACATTTTTAAGCTTATTAATCTATTACATTATTGCAGCTTATTAATTTATTACATTATGAATTTTTAATTCCAATCTACGAGTCGATTAACATCTCCCTCAAAAAGTAGTCAGTTTTTGACGTTTATCTGCATCTCTATCGGAATAAAGCGACGATTACTTTTGATTATTTCTACCCGCAAATCAAAGGGCACCTTGGAGAAAAAATGAAAAATGATTCATATTAAGCGTTTCTGTAATTTTAGACAATGGTATTTGCTTTTGAAAAATTAACTATAAACCTGAGAATTGCGTGCGTCTGTACAGAAATTACTTTCATCACGAAAAACTGACGAAGAATGAACTCGAAAATCCCTTTTGAATTGAATATAAAAAACGCGATGCATTTGCGCTTTGCGTGAACTCTGGTCAAATAAGAAATCTGTGCGGTTAAAAGGAATAAAAATAATCCCACCCGTAATTACTATGCCATTCCTTCTAACCTTAACAAGATTTTAATCGAAGGAACTCAGTACGACGTATTACAATAGCTTGGTGAACATGCATCTGGCTGATTGCATTCCATGAAATCTTGCGTCAAACTGGAACTCGTCCAAATGCTATGACGTAGCTAAAAAGTCGTCTCACTGCCAAACAGTTGGAAGCCATCTGGAACTCAATTTCCCCTCTTTTTTCACCTGTTTCCTTTTCACAAACTGCGAAGTAAGATCACCTCGCATTCGAAGGTTATATAACAATGAATCCTGAAAGCAGATCTCTTCTTTTGGACGAAGTGAGGTCATACCGCCCATCCAGACTAAGGACTGTCGAGACCAGAGTGACCAGATATGGCGGTCAGCAGGAGCTTGAACGAAAAATGGACTCGGGGGTCTTCAGTAGTCGAACTGTGGCTAACCAAACTGCCCCCAGGAAGCAGTGGTTTGCTCCAGATTATAGACCTGATCTCCAAGTTGCACTTATTTTGCCAGGACTTCTTTTAGGTAATGTAAAAAAGAAAAAAAATGTACATATATATTATTTTTTTTAATTATTCTTTAATAAATAAATCGTTAGTGTTAAAGAACGTTAACCCCCTTACCTGATCAGGGTGCAGGCTTCAAGGATCCAGGTATCACGTTTAACTTAAGGAGTTTTTCTTTTAACTTAGAATACAATGTTTACTTTAGTATTTTCATCTTTTTAGATCTTATTCATCATTAAATAAATTTATAAAGTATTTTTAAAGTAACTAATTATTATTATAATTATATATTTATTACATCTAAAGTAACTATTTCTAAGAGTAACTGATTATATGTTAGTTAAAATTTGTTCATAAAAAATTAATTTTATTTATGGGTATTTAGAAAATCGAATAGTTAATGCACCAATACTTGATGATGAATTATTGAGGATTAGATAATTGTCTACATAAATTTCCTGTTTTTATTAATATAAAGTCATCGAGAAATTAAGTTTTAATCAAGCTGAAGAACATGAATTTTATTCTCTTACGAAAAAATGGTCAAAAATCCAGAATTCATAATTATTGCATTCATATTAGTAATTCTTCCTTCAAATACTTTCACAAGTAAACCTATTTTAATGTATGCATTTCTATGTATAATTGTTTATTTAAATTCTCACCAAGCTGGATATGTTTCTAGATAGTGGACGCCTTGATTTGCGCCTGTAACATTATTTGGCTTTAAAATGAAGAGATATGGAGATTGAAAACTAAAAGAATATACCATTTTAAATAATAATCTGAATGGTCGAAAGTATTTGAAAAAAAAAAAAAGCTAAAGAGATTCTTTTAAAGCTACCTAATTGTTTAATTGTTTGCGGAAGAGGATATATGTAACGTAAATCAAATGAAATACTTCCTTTAATTTAAAATATTAAAAAGAATGGTGTGCATTTATGACCCATGCGAATTTCAAATCTAAAGGAATGTGTTCTTTGGTAGTGACTATTTTGATATCAAGAACGTACGTAGTCTTTAAAGATTTTTGGTTGAAAACATTTTTATGTGAAATTTTGACATTTCACACATAGAGAGAGGGAGAAATTCATACTGTTGTAAATTTACCATCTGTCACATGTTAATACTGTCACTGCGTACTTCCGCAATGATCAACAATTGAAAGCACCATGTTCGGAATTTAAATATATTGAGGCCCTGTACACACGGGGGAGGGGAATTCATACAGATAGGCAAAGTATTTCGACTTCTAAATTATTGTAAATGGACACAGTTTAGGAGAACAGATTAGAAAGTTTCCAGTAAAAAGAAAGATTTCATTTACAAGTGTGTTTTGTTAAATATTTTTTTTGTATTACATTAAAACGTTATAGTTTAATAGGTCGTAATTAAGTATGTGTTCAACCTGGATATAAGTATCTCTTGAGATAATATGTAGTTTTAAATTTAGAATAATAGCTTTCTTATGGAAAAATTTTGAATTCAAATCATCTATATTTTCCTCAGATTTCAGTTACTAGATTTGCTGTATTTTAAATCGTAGGTATAATTAATTGCATTTAATATTAAATAATATATTATTAAATTTGTATTAATAATATTATGCGTTATTAGTATATTTAATGGCATTCCATTAATTGTCTCTCTATGTGATAATGTAGTGTAAACTAATGCTTAATATTTGTGAGTTCGTAAATATATTTTGCTTATCACTGTGCTAATATCGCGATAAACTGTAAATGAATAAACGAGAGTAAATAAAATTTTAGACCATAAAAAAGCTGACATTCTGTATGTGCTGAAACTTAAATGATGTAATTCATTAATAACTTAAATAACATAAAACTGAATGTGGATGCGCTTTTATAATTATGAAATAAATCTTCTAGATAGTGAAGCTGAAACAGCTGCGTCGATTGCTAGAAATAATAGTTACTCAAATCGAATACAGGTATCATGTTGACTTTCGAATGGAAGAGGTGCTAAAGATTCTGGCTGAAGTTGGAAACCCTGACATCTCCAGTTGCGTTATGGGATAGATAGTATCAAAGGCTATATTTTATGTCAACGCACTGCTCTACGATATGAATGTATAATGTAGAGCCAACACTTAAAACTTTACGAATATTTATTTGCACCAAGCTTGTCAGGCTTCTCGACAGGTTTCTGAGAATCACATGCACAAAAACAAAACAAAACAAAAAAAAAATATTCTGATGTGGATATCACATGGCTTCCTTGTACAGCCTATTAAATTATACATATTTTTGCTGTACTGTATTTATTTCCTTGAATAATTTATCTTAATTAACCGATCCTTCAGGACAAGTTCAAAATGACAACAAAAACCGGAAATTTTGAAATTAAATGTCCCGGTGAGTTTTGTTGTACTGCAGTCAAACTTTGTATAATTTTATTTTTTCATAACGAGTATAAAACTTCCTAAACATAAGTAGAGGAAGCGAGGGATCGCATTAAAATTCATTCTGAATCAATTTTATAGTAAGTTTCGAAAACACGAGACCTTTATTTTGTCCGTACGTGCAAACATCGGCGGAAAAATTAAAAACGCGCAAAATTGACTCGGAAACAGTCAAAATGGATATATTCATTGAAATATGATAGCCGAAATGTTTCTCCAAAATACTTCCTTTACTTCATACAAGGAAATAAAAAGCCGTTTAATTTGAATTCAATGTGGCATGCATTATTTAAAAAAATAAACAACGAAGAATCTCTGTGTACGTACGTATGTTACTCGCATTGTGGAAAATTTTCAACTTCAATCTTTCACTTTTAATCGAAAAAATTCGTCTATTTGAAAGCAGTGCGTCGCCACTGCGCAAATTAAATTATTTTATTTTTCACGCTGCAGCGTGTTCCCATTTCACAAAACCGAAGATATTTAACTTATGATTTAATATAGAATGATACTGAGTAACAAACAAAACGGTTTAAACACAATAAACACAGTTCTTAAGAAAAATGTTTTTACATTTTAATGTAACTGATTTAAAGAAAATGCATTAAAATCATAAGATATCTAAAAAATTATTAAATATTTTTATGAAATTGCAGTAGCTGGTATCAGATCTTTGGTACTCCTCAGTAAGGATTGGCGACCGGAGACCTCCAGATTTTCGCTGAAATGTTTTCCAACGGTCCAGGGAATAAATAATACGTAAATACCAAATCATTATATACTTTTTTATGATAACTATTTTATGCAGCTGCCCACTCGAACGGCTAATTTTTAAAGAAATAACAGAGGAAATGTAAAAAATCACCTAACACTCTATCGGGTATTCTAAAAATACGCTGTTTTTAAATATTTTGTGATTTTACTGTTGAATGTCATGTGGCGTAAGTGTGGAGAATGTGATGTTTAATAAGTAAAGTAAAAGACAGAAAATGTTAATAACAAGAAGCAGAAAAAGTTTTGTAACTCATCTTAATAAGGAAACTGAATTTTGATTTAATAAACTGAGAAAATATGAAAAATGTAAAAAAGTGTATCCAACATTTAATACTAAATCAGGAATTCTAAATAAATGATGCTTTGCTGTTTTAAAAATTTTATGATTTTGCTGTTGAACTGTATCTGGCATACCTGCGAAGATAGCGATGCTTTTTAATAAAACTAAAAAGACAAAAAAAATTGTGTTAGCAGGAGTGAGTGTTTGCAAGAACAAACTGGTAACCTGTGATTGTCAACGAGATGATAAAAACATTATCAAACCTTCTGATGCGGCATTAAAATATGTATTCTTTCTGATTTATTATTATTTTTTTTCAAATTTATGCTAACTCATAGACAGTTAGTAAATACAAGAAAAAGAATTACCAAAACCCAGACTGGCATACCAATAAGAAGGGCGTGAGCAAAATTCTTTTGCTAATGCATAACCAAATTTTCTTCCTAAATAACAAATAAGCTCGTTATTTAAACTTTTCTTAATTTGCATTCTGGTGAGGCTGACGGAAGAAAAATTAGTTAAAAAGTTAGTTAGTTAAGAGTTAACATAAAATTAACATGCTATTTAAAATAATCTTTTATATGAAAGTAATTTTTAGTAAAATTTTAAACTCTGTTTACTATGAAAAGTAACTTTATTGGTAAGTTTTGTGCAACTGATTTTCAAAATTTGATGAATGTGAAAAATTTTCGCTCTCTGCCCTCTATATAAATAAAAAAAAAGAGGTTCAAAATATGAACAGAAACGCTAGGTCTCTTCTCATTGCAGAAAAGAAATTGTTCGAAATTAGATTCTTTGATCTAGAACCTGGAACTGAGTTAGTTGTCTAGAGTTCTGATTGCCAAAGAACTCGAGATAGATTTCAATCGCAGTAAGTGTTCTAATGAAGTATTGTTTGATCATGTTCCCAATAGAACTAAGTTTTGAAGTACCACGGAATCTTGATAAAACTATCGACCGCTGCTGTAAATTGAGGATGGACGACTTTTTTTTCTCCTCAGAATATGTATTAAAAGTGGTATTTAGTTTTCTGTATTAATGTTTTTTATAAAGCATTATTATTTTGAAATATTGCGAATTCTTTCTCTTTCAGAATAGTTTTTAATAAAATTTGTGGATGCTATTTCATATTTTAATATTCTTTTGATTAACTTTTGAACTGAGTTCAAAACTCACGAATGCGTTATGTTTGCCTTTTTCAGGATCATATTATTGAAGTCTTGTTTCTAATGTGTGCTGTAGATTATTATCTTTTGAAATTTGTAACTGCCTACCATTTCAATTTTATATAGTTGCCCAGTTTATTAGAACGTTATGATTTCCAAATTATACGTACATTATGCCATTTCCTAATGGTAATTTCTGTTTTTTAGCATTATAGTGCTAACTAATGCTAACGAAACAGAAATTACCGCACCTGTTTTGAATTTCTTTGGAACATTTAAAAAGATCACTTTTCTAAAGTTTGCCGATTTGCCCGTAAACCATTTGCCCACAGACCATTTTTACTTCCTTGTAGGAAGTATTGTAATCGCGAAAA